CCGTCAGACCGTTGATGTACTGCGGATGCTTCGTGAACGCGCTCGGCTGCTGGAACGGCCGCCCCGTTGATCTGGTAACATGTTTTGTAAATTGATTTACTAAATTACAACAATTCGCATATCCAAAATTATACTGCATATTTTTAGTCGCATTGACGATATAAAGTCGTGAACACGTACTTGTAGTCGACGTGTCGTATGCTAGCTTCCAGCACGATCTCGTCGAGCTGTCCCTCGAAGCGCAGCGGCTTCACGTAGCGTCCGCCGAAGCCCGGCTCGGGCGCGCTGAACGCAGTGAACGCCACCAGGATCACTGACTGAGGAACAACAACATGTACACTATGTAAAACTAAAAATCTATATTATTTCAGTATATTACATAAGGTTGACTAACCTTTCTAGATTTAGGTTCGTGCCTTGTTACGGCGACTACGTCAGCGTCCATTTGATCCACATATACCTGTAAAAAAAACTAGTTTAATATCAAAATTATCTACATTTAGTATAATTACTACATGAAGCTTATTACCTCATCATACCCTTCCGCAGCGAGCTGGTAGTGCAGCGCGTTGAGTGCGCGGCGCGCCGCCACCATGCCGCAGCGCGCGCTCACCCGCCCCGCCCCCACCTCGCCCCACTCACTGTACAGCCGGTTCTCGTCCACCACGTGGATCTGTTAGCAATTAACATTACAACTTTCAAATCTAACTAAAATAATATATCGTATTCCGCAACTAGTGGTGCAACATTTTTATGTTATCATGTTTTATTCATTTTAACTAAATAAAAAAATAAAGATATTAATAATTCTTAATGTGAAAGTTTGGATGGATGAATGTATAGATGTTTGTTAGAGTTTGGAGTTTGTAGCCTAAACTACAGATCGGATCTCGATGATGGCATAGATGTAGAGGATAGTCTGGAAGAACAAATAGGCTACTTTTTTTTTTATTCCACGCGGAGTCGCGGGCAAAAGCTAGTATACTAATAATATAGTACACTATAATAAACACGTTATAGTATAGTAAATGTGTACATACATGGTGCGGAACGAGCTCGTCGTATCCGCGGGTGCTGCCGGTGGCGCAGCACGCCATACACACTAGCGCTGCAGACGGCAGCATGTCGAATACACTCCTGTATACAAACATAAGGCTCAGAATCATCATCATCATCACCAGCTCACTGTACGTCCTCACCTGGGGATTAATAAAAAACAATAATCACGCATTAATCTACCTTCCAGTCAAAATCCTGTCATAATCGGTCTGTCTGTTAAAGAGATAGCAGTCGCTATTTTGAAAGCGCGGAATTAATGTCCACATCGGTTACCCATCAGTCCCTGTCAAAGCCCTGTCAAAATTGCCCCACATAACTTCGCGTCCCCCCGGGCGCCGAGTATGTATAGCATTCCCCTCTATAAAAAAAAACTCCGAGTCCCTCGGACGATAACATTAATTTTTTTTTATTATGTAATTTGAAACACATATGCAACATATGTACAAACGGATAAACAAATAAATATAAGTATGCAGGTTGGTTACCTCTTATCCACAGGCGAGGGGTTGTCGTGCGTGAGATCTAGCAGCAGTGCGTGCGCGACGCGCGGCGCGGCGCGGCGGCGGGGCGCGCGCGCGAACGACCCCACAGCGCGCGCACCGAACCGGTGCAGCAGCCGGCCCTGCTCGTGCGAGTCCCATGCGCTCAACGCCTCTGTATAATAATTTACATTTATAAATTGTTACCACTTCAATACGTCCCCCACTGAGGACCTCGGAGCCTACCCTAACTGATTAGGCCAGTGATTCTCAACCTTTTTTTGTCAACGATTTCAAAATTTGGTGGCACACAAAACAAAGATAAAAATTATTTACTTACTGCCACACACTGCATAAATATTTTATCACAAAAATGAGCAAAATTTGGTGTCACACTTCTGAAATTTGAGGGCACACAAAAGTGTGGCGGCACAGTGGTTGAGAATCACTGGACTAGGCCATATAGTCAACCACGCTGCACTGCGGGTTGGTTGACTTCAATTCCAAAAATTGAAAACCGCGTTAGTATATGGCGGGATTCGTCAAGATCTGTAGATTACAAGTTAAATGCTTAAGCCCCCGAGCCACCAACGCTCGCATATGATGCATATGCTAGCATAAAAAATAGAGATGTTTCCGTGTACTGTAACGACTTCGGCGTCGTCAGAGAGGTGGAGTGATAGCTATCTTCCAAAAATAAAGGTATAAAAAACGTAGAATAGATAAAAACACTTCGAATAAGTTCATATTAGTAATATTAATAATAATAACTTTTATTTCAAGCGTACAATCAGCTCATAAACTTATTAGTAAGTTTCTTAAATTATGTTAGTAACAAAACAGAATATACACATTTTTTTTTACGCTTCAAAATCCAGAGAACAGAGTGCAACTTTAGACAGCTGGTAAGGTATCGACAGTCAGTCCTGCCGGCTATCATGTGGAGCTGGCTCGCACCCGACTCACTCGTAATGATATCATAACCCTAAATATAGGCAAGATAATCGCATGGTTCACTTTCGCAGACTAACCGCGTATGAGCGAGGTGATGCCGAGCCGGTTGACGAAGATGTTGTCGACGTGGTCGGAGTTGGTGAACAGCTCGCCCGCCACGTACAGGTCCGGCTTCACGTTGCGCGCGCAGTCCAGCATGTACTCCGCCACCTTGCAACAATTCACTTATGTTAATAATGCGAAATATCTCATTTATTAAGATAAACCAACAGAACAAAATTATGACACATACATTTTTACACAATACAATAACATGCAGATAATTAATCCTAATTACAGGTTTACACGACATATAATACATAAAAAAATAACAACAGTAAACAGAATATGTTTTTGTCTATTTTTTATTGAACCCAAAACGTAAAATTTAAATAAATTAATTAAAGCGATAGCCTCTCGTAGATATTTCTTAAATGGATTTGTTGGAGAAGATGTCGATTATAGGCATTATATCTCTGGCTCCTTTGACGCACACACACATAGAACTGTGACTGTGAACTGAACTAATCTTGATAATATTTAGCATAAATGTAGAACATAGTCTAGAAGCCCTCATTGGATATTTTTTTTAATTCGCACGGATAAAATCTTGGGCGAAAATTAATAGTCAATACAGCGCCCTCTTTCGCAAGGAATTATACACTTGAAGAGCTAAGTCCTGGTAGGTGAACTTACTAGCCTACTGTACTGGCATAATGAAAACCAGACATAAAAAACATTCCCGTACTTTGTGGAACAATAAAAACAATAGCAGTGGTTATTAACATCGGAAAGTACTAATTCATGAATGAGAAGATCAGTAGTTTGTGTGTGTGTTGTGTGTGCTCACATGCAGCGGCGTGGAGTGGCAGTTGTCGAGCCGCAGGCCGTCGAACACCTCCGCTGTCAGCTCCACGTACTCCCGCATGTGCGCCCACAGGAACGGACTGTCCTCCGGCTTCTCACCGTACCTATATAATTTTTTTTATTATAATCGAGAATGAATCTAATTTTTTTTTTTTATTACTAAATGTACTGTCGCGGAAATTCGCAGTGTTGCACTTACAGAAAAATTGCCTCATTTAAAGACTAACTCTACCACCGCATCTAAATAACTAATTAGTTAAAATTGTTATTTATACAACTTTTTGGTGTATAACTACATATAAAAACATTGTAGCGACGATGACGATATACAACGAATAAAAAAAAAGCCTAGTACCAGTTTTTTTTTCAGACATTTAAAACCTGCGGCCTATTGGTCATTATTCCGTGTCCTAATATGTATAGGCTACAATCGTGTGAATGTTAAGATAGAGAATTAGGTCCACCGGCAAATTTCCCGATTGTACATAACCTAAAAACAAATTATTTTCCCTTTCCTTGTTCTCAGTTGGTACTCCACCGACCTGAGTTTAACGCTGTCCCCCCAGGCGATGAGCTCGCGGCGCAGGTAGACGCCGGCGGCGGCGCGCGCGGCGAAGTCCTGCAGCGGGTCCGCGTCCATCACCCAGCCGTTGTGCGCCATCACGTAGCGCCCCGCCTCCGAGTAGATCACCGCCTCCATCTCCGCCAGCGAGCCCACCGCGCACGGGTACGTGAAGTATCTACACGTTTCATTTAACTAGATATCGCTCGGGACTCCGTCTACGTCGAATTAAAAAGTGAATAGCCTATGTGTTCTTCCAGACTATCCTCTACATCTGTACCAAATTTCACCGAAATCTAGCCGTTTAGGTTCTAACAAATATCCATCTAAACTTTTACATTTATAATATTAGTTAGATTAGATTGTTGTATTATTTTTAAGAAGAAAATTAGTACCGCGCTGTAAAATTGGCTCAACGCTAGATCATCGGCATAAACTTCACGTCCTTAGCTGACAGCTGTCAATGTCATTAGAAGGATTGATGATTCGCGGAAAAAAACTAATTGTTTAAAACTATACGCTAATATGGGGCATTGGGCAACCCTGAGAAGGGAAGTAAAAACTTAACGCTTAAAGAGACATAGTTGTGTTGTAAGGAGATTCTATTCTCCCCTTTTTTAGTGATGTTGGCGACCACCATGGGGTTTTAGTCGGAATATCTCGGACCTAGAGGTCCCAATAGATAAATAACCAAAAAGAATACAAACAATAATGTTTCAAATTACAATTACCAGGTAATATTGAAGTAATAATTATTACCTGGGCACTAGCGGATGTTTCTCGCTGACTTCTTCAATCTTCGGACCGTCTGATTGCAATCTATAATATCTGTATAACAAATAAAATACATCAAATTACAACCGAAGTGGAAAAAATTCTTTACAATTGGTAGAATTATGGAGATGAGCACGTAAGTTCAACCGCAAGCAACAACAGGCAGGGGTTTTTTTTATTATCTTTATTTTTGACCGACTTCCCAAAAGAAGGAGGTATTCAATTCGACGGTATATTTTTTTTTATTTTTTTTTTTATGTGTGTTACGGCATAACTCCGCCGCTAGTGGACCGATTTGGATAATTCTTTTTTTATCCGA